TAAAAAAGGGGATACTTGGCTTCTGCTTTTACAGTGGCAGCCCAAACCTTCCTGCTTGCTGTCTCCGCGGGAGGAAGTACAAAAGTTTCATATGCCTTATCAGCCTGCTTTTCCTGCCTGCTGTCTCCGCAGGAGGAAGTACAAAGTTTACAATGCCTTACCAGCCTGCTTTTGCTGCCTGCTGTCTCCGCAGGAGGAAGTACAAACTTCCCTATGCTTTTACAAACCAGAGGGCTGCAAATAGCTAAAATATATATTCAGTCCCGTCGGTGCCATCCACACCGCGCTCGTTGTCATCCACACATCTGCATTGTGTAGTCTTTCATCTGGTATACATACCACACCAAGGCCATCCTCATCAGCCTCATCTTATCGTTATTACAAGCTAAAGGTCTGCATGTAATGACATTTACCATTATTTCGCGAAACGCACCCTAAAAACAATCAGAAATGTAGAGGGTACCACAATGTGTCAGTGCCGCTATTTTTAGCCTGGGTTTTTCCATTACTGCTATTTTTTGTTTGACAACACCTCGATGTCATTGTGTAGCAGGGTAAGGGGTGGTGCTCTTGAGTGAAACCAACACCTGCTTGGGTGTGAGCTGTGACTTCAACCACAAGTTTATTGCTCTACAATATATATTTTGTTTCGTTTTCACCCTGTACCATAATAATAATGACATTTAGCTAGTGGTGTTCCGATGATCGAAAATCGATCGAAAGAAGGATTAAAATTGATTATGGATTGTAAAAAACATTTTCAATTAAGCAGAATTTTGTTGTTTTAGTATAACACTTGAATGAAGTAAAGTAAAAATAAAATTTGACAAATATATACGAACAAACATGCACTCAACAGCGTAATGCTATGCGTATTGTAACATTTTAACCACATTTATTGTTTAATTACAATTCCAGTGTCTTTCTTGCATGTGTGTATTTCATTGCCTGACAGTATTAGTTATAAACAACATACATTAGAAAAAACCTGGTAGAAAACCCTTGAAATTGGTGATAACATTAAAAATGTACATACTTCGATTTTTATGGATAATCGTTCACCACAATCCTCGATAATCGATAGTGGATTTGGTTTCCGATTCCCAACACTACATTTAGCATTGTTTCGCTTACCGGGTTTATAGGCAGCATTTACAAGGCATTCGCACAGTTCTAACACTTGAAATACACTCGGGTATGTAACGTTACTTCAATTCGAATTGTGTCATTTCTAATCACCTTCGTTGCGGCATTGCAGCTAACATGGTATGCCGTGTATTTCGTTAAAACGGCTGTCTCAACCTTCAGGTAATACAGCGGGTTATTTGGCTAAATCGGTGATAGGCAGCATCCTTCGCATAGCTTCATACACTTAGCTTATGATAAGTATCCAGTGTAGCAACGCACATGGCAGTGTATTATTTCCGCATTCCATAATAGCAGCTACGTCACTTCCAGAGTGATGTCACATCCGCAGTCATACGTCACGTCTGTTTCCTTTCTATTCTGCATGCTCTCCTGTCAGGTTCACCATCTTGCTTCATCTCAAATAATTTCCCACCCACCCACCCTTTCCTTCTACAGCTAATATCCAGGGGGTGCTGGGCGCTGAGGTCGTTAAATGCATGACTTATATTAAGTCTTCCCTGTACAGTTCACAGTAGGCATAACCTGGACCATAACCTTTGTGTATTGCCTCCTTCTTAATAAACAGGTGCTGTGGTCATGGTGCCAACGGGACTAGACACTGAATCGGCTTTATAAAAGGGGATATTTGGCTTCTGCTTTTACAGTGGCAGCCCAAACCTTCCTGCTTGCTGTCTCCGCAGAGGAAGTACAAAAGTTTCATATGCCTTATCAGCCTGCTTTTCCTGTCTGCTGTCTCCGCAGGAGGAAGTACAAAGTTTACAATGCCTTACCAGCCTGCTTTTGCTGCCTGCTGTCTCCGCAGGAGGAAGTACAAACTTCCCTATGCTTTGCCTGTCTGGTTTTACACGGCGGAGGGCTGCAAATTACTTAAATATATATCCGGTCCCGTCGGCGCCATTCACACCGCACTCATTGTCATCCACACATCTGCGTTGTGTAGTCTTTCATTTGGTATACATACCACGCCAAGGACATCCTCATCAGCCTCATCTTATCGTTATTACATGCTAAAGGTCTGCATATAAACAATCAATAAAACAGTCATATCACAACTGAACTACAGTAGCAGATTACACATAAAAGTTCCAATTACTGATAATGGTCATATACCTGTCACAATAAACTCATGTGATACCTATAACTTAACTGCATCGATTCCAAGAAGACATAAGTAATAAACAAATGCAGTTCACCAAAAAGGGTTATTTATATTGTACTAAGACATGAAATAAATATTAGCAGCAAATATTCACAATATCAATCATGATAGGGAACAGATATATCACTCTACACATATTTGTGGGAATAATATCCATGAAATATAAACACATTAAAAGGGTAAAATACCTACTAAATATATGGTACAGGTGACAGTGAGCATTGTCTACCTTACATGATTAATCAGCATATCCCATCTATATGTATTACTTCCTTAAGTGGCATTTAGAAGCTGGTATGATGAAGTGGAACACTTTTTATGGATAGACAACTTCTTTGTTGCAGTACTGCAACAAAGAAGTTGTCTATCCATAAAAAGTGTCCCACTTCATCTATAAGTAATATAACACACCATTAAGTATATTATGCTAACCTATTCTACTATAATAAAACATATATCACTCTATAATACAAACCTACATAATAAATAAATACACACACACACACACACACACACCTTACAGCACAACATTATCAGTATTGTGATATTCTTACAAATATTTACAATAAACAGTTAATAAAATAATATGGTATCTCATGTGGCACAGACATTACCTGACCTCATAAAATGTTACAATATTATCATTATTATTTTTTATCACTTTATTTCTTTATAATGGGTAGATAATTTATGCATTTGTGGTACATGTAAATATTATAAAACAAGGACATGGGTGGTAGATAATCCGTAGGCTATAAGAATACATTTGTTGTTGCAATTTATGTGAAGAGGTTACGGCAAGATGACCAAAAGGTGAAGAATTTACCATAGTTGCAGTGCGAAAAGGCAGTACATTTGTCAATTTCATACAAGTTGTGTAGATAATGTTTTAATCCAGCAATCTGTGGATGCGAATTGAAACATCTCTTTGCATGTATATAGTATTTTGTTGCGATGATAATAAGGTTTAGTACATCATTTCTTTTTTCTTTATATCCAAAGATGATATGTTTTGCATCCAGAGTTAATTTTGTGCCTGTTTCTTGTTCAATCCAGGCTTTTAGTTGCTGCCACAACGTTTTCACATGTACACATTCACAAAATACGTGGATAATTGATTCCATTTTAACCTTACAGAATGTACAAGAAGCGGATTGTGTCAGTTTATAGTTAAATAAATCCTTGTTTGTTGTAATGATTCTTTGGACAATTTTATAAAATTTCTTTAGCACAACATTATCAGTATTGTGATTTTCTTACAAATATTTACAATAAACAGTTAATAAAATAATATGGTATCTCATGTGGCACAGACATTACCTGACCTCATAAAATGTTACAATATTATTTATGAACTTGTCATGATAATCCTGATGCAGTAAACATGAAAATCATGCCTATAATAAACACACATTATTTGACTTAGACTATTCTTAAAACACATTCATACCTTCACATTAACAATTGATAACCTAAGCAAGAATAATGTTTATGATATAACTATGCTTAACAAATATTACATCCGATATAATATGTTCAGAATTAAGTTAACTAACCCTGAACAGATGTACAGCTGAAGGAAACTGTCTGTCAAAATGTCAAGAAATCTGTTTTCTGAAAGATGCATTTCTTGTGCAGCTGCATGTGGTAGACTGAATAAATGTGCTGATGTTAGTAAAGAAAAAACCAGACAAGATTAAAGTGACCAATCAGAGATCGAGGAATAGCTTGCCCTCTGAGTGAAGAACCAGAAAAAAAGAACACCCTGTTCTCCCACAATGATACAATAGGACCAAGGTCCAGCTTGGGTAATCAAGCTGGGGACAAATACCAAACTTACTCTAATAAAAACGTAATCCCATAAAACAACCACATTCAAACTGTTTAAAGATGATACCGTATTTACACAAATAAATAAAATGTAAAAATATGACACTGCCATGATTGTGAAAACGTATTCTTTTTTTATAGGGAAATAAAATTGACCGAGGTAATTAGAAAATTTATTTTAAAATTTGTCGGATATGACGACCAACAGCCTTTGAAATTACCGGACATTCTAACTTTGTACCGGTCCAAGTCCGGTATATACCGGATAAAGGAAACACTGCATATTCAGTTAAAAAGAGTAGACGAGGACTAGGTGGCTATGAGTTGGTACTGTGCATTTAACACGGGTATCAATGTTAAAAGGACCGCCTCCGTGGTGTAGTGGTTACAGCGTCCGCCCGGAGAGCGAAAGGTCGCGAGTTCCATCCCCGACCACGTCATACCAAAAGACGTTAAAATATGGTAATTGTTGGTCCCTGCCTGGCACTCGGCATTACTGGGTACAGCAAGAACTGGTCGTCTAGGAGTCAGTATAATGTGTCTGAGTGGGGTATTCATGCTTCAATGCGGCATGGTATCTCTGGGCTAGCACCATAAAACCAGCTTAAGTCTGGACTAGTACAAGCAGCCGCACATAAACATACACATGTATGCACGTCGTCATATGAGCGAAATATTCTCAAGGGCGACGTTAAACCCAATTTCACCTCACCTCAATGTTAAAAGTGTTAATGGTATCACAGTGGGCAACAATATAAAGCCGGCGTTAGTCTGGACTAGTAATAGTAAGTTGACACGCATGCATTCCTTGAACATATTCTCACTGTACCATTGATTGTACCAACTCATGTTTTCATTACAGGTTTACCATCAGCACCAGAAACATTTGAGTCGATGCTGGAGAGACTTATTGCTGCTATCAGGAGCTCCAAGGCATCGTTTAAATATTTCAGTGACATTGCTACCATACACACTTGCCTGGCTAAGTGTAACTTGAAGAGAGATTACAAAATTCATGAGCTTGGGACTATAGGGAGAAATATCACATTTACTGGAAGCTTACAGGTTAATAATGTCTTCCTTGCAAGGAGTGTGGGTATATCAGAGAAGACAGTGAAACATGCATGTTATGAGAAGGCCATGGCAGTCCTAATGACTAATCCTGTGTCTGAAATTTTGAAATTGGAGGATGAAGGGATTGAGAAATTGAGGATGAAATTGCTTGTTGACGAAGAGAATAAAAAGGCTAAAAAATTGGTTGTTGCTGCTGCACCCACACCACCTCTTACGCCTCGTGAAACATTTGAGTCGAAGCTGGAGAGACTTATTGCTGCTATCAGGAGCTCCAAGGCATCCCGTGAATATTTCAATGACATTGATACCACATACAATTGCCTGGCTAAGTGTAAATTGAAGAGTGATTACAAACAGGATTCCCTAGGGAAAATAGGGGAAAAAATCAAACATACTGGAAGCTTACAGGTTAATAATGTCTTCCTTGCCAGGAGTGTGGGTATATCAACAAAGGAAGTAAAACATGCATGTTATGAGAAAGCCGTGGCAGTCCTAATGACTAATCCTGTGTCTGAAATATTGAAATTGGAGGATGAAGGGATTGAGAAATTGAGGATGAAATTGCTTGTTGACGAAGAGATAAAAAAGGCTGAAAAATTGGTTGTTGCTGCTGCACCCACAACACCTCGTACGCTTCGTGAAAGACTGGTTAAGTTGATCCATTGTCTGAACAATTTTAATAAAAGAGCTGACACACCAATGAACGAATTGAATATTGCAAATATATCTGCAAACTTTGTCTTTCATCTGGTATACAAAGAAGAATCAATTGAGCTTTGGGGAATTTCTGTCTTATTAAAGCCCTTCTTATGCTTGACGGACATCTGATCGCTACAGCAGTTGAGAGAGAGCATAAACGTGTTAGGTACAAAACATACGCCAAAGGAGTTGAATTTCTCAGGAACAGTCCAATGTCTGTTGTTCTGGAGGGTGTCCCAGCTGATGATGACTATACCAACCTCTCGGCACATGACGTTCTGTCACACCGACATGTCAGTCTTCCAGACCATCAGACGGAGCAGAAGCTGGGTAGAATGATCAATGAGGTGAAGAATATTGTAGCCTCCAAACAGCCCCCAAGCAACACACTCCAGATTACTTCCCAAAATAACCATCTCCTCCTGACTTGCCTTTTCAAAAAAAGAACAAGAGGCGCTGAGCAGTTTGCTGAATGTGATCTTTACATTGACTGCATCTACATCTGCAGTGGTGAAGGCTACAAATATGCTGATGCAGTGAAGCGGGCCAATGAGGAAGCAGTAAGAGTGCTTTGCAACAGTTCATCTGACCTCATCTTCAACAGCTTCAAACGGATAACGACTAAAGATGTGCATGATGTGGCACAAGTTTGTGAATTTTGGGAAGGGAAAATGACTAAGACATTTTTCTGGTCAAACTGTGAGAAAATTCAGCAATTGAAAAAAAAAATGCTGTTTAAGACAAACCCTGACTACACAAAGTTCCCGAGGGATTGGGAAGGCATGCCTGTCATGGAACAGGACATGTTTTCATCAGATAGGTTGAACAAGGCATACGAAATACTTCTGCACACTGCAACCAAAAGCTTTGTAACAATGTTTGGAAAGGGCACAACTGAAGGCAATGTTCTGAAGTAAGTAGACCGTGTTGTGAAATCATGATAATACAGTGAAACCAAGCATTGTTTCAGCAGTTAAAGCAAGGCTGGAACTGTCAGCAATAAAGTTTCTTTTGGGACAAAAATATTTACTAGGTGCATGACCCTTTGACTCATCCTCTGGTACTGCTAAACTAATGAGGCTCAAATTTAACATGTATCCGATGTTGGGTCTTTCTTACAGAGACCCCTTATCTTGTTCAAATCAATATGAATTGATTATATATATATATGTGTGTGTGTGTGTGTGTGTGTGTGTGGTTTTAAAAGTATGTAATAACTCAAATATTATGATGTGACACGTTTTAAGATCTTAATCTTTCAAACTACTAGGCTTACACTTTGTGTCAGTATAATGACCTTTAGAATATGGCATCAATAACAGTCCTGAGTACAGATGTTCTTGACATTTTGCAAACATACTGTCTTTATGTCTTTGGGCAAGTGTTTCTTAAACTCAGCAAATCAAAAAGTTGACATTGTTGAAGTGTCTCTGTATATCATTACTTCATATGTGAGGCTAGCTTCAGCAAATTGTGGCCCTATTTCTGTATGTTTTCTTCTAAAAGCTTTGATTCCGAACCAAGTATATTATTGTTTTCATTGTATACAGGCAAAACAAATGTTCAAAAGATGAAAATGCTGGAAGGCAGTTTGGAACATACCTATAGACTGATCCAGCTTTATGAAACCAAAGATCTGCGTTGGAACTAGTTGTCAGGAATATCTATTTTTTCTTTTCCTGACTCCTATTATTTGCTTCTCTCTCTTTCAGCCTGAGGCACATCGGAAACCTCTGTGTCTGTGTTCCCAAGAACAGTAAAAACATCCCACGCGAATGCACCACCTCTCTTGCATGCACACCAGCTATCTAGTGACTTGTCACTCCCTCAATTTTCAAGGCCAAATCTCTTTGCCAAAATTAGTGAAGAATGGGGATGGCTGGGAGGGAATCCTGCTCCCTGACTTGGTTGACACATGTCATCATATCCCAATTGCATAGATTGATGCTCATGCTGTTTATCACTGGATTGTCTGGTCCAGACTCGATTATTTAAAGACCGCCACCATATAGCTGGAATATTGCTGAGTTCAGCACAAAACTAAACTCACTCACTCATGTCCTATGAGGCTGGAGATACTCAGGATGTCACAACCTGGATTGTGCACTTCACTTTAAACTTCTTTCACTCCCCAAGCTGACTATCTGCTGAATTTGTGTTGTTAAGGTGTGAGTTGTTCCTGCAAGGTGAGAAGCTGGCAGAGGCCACTGGGAAGAGCAATCTTGAAGCCTCAGCAAAGGCAGCTGCCAAAATCCTCTTCAAGTTGTACCAGCATCAACCTGTGATCAAGGTATGCAGAATTTAAATGTCCAACAAAGTACATGGATGAACGTCACTTTTCATCCTGTTTTGAAATTTTTTAGAGAATATATTTGTTGTCTGTTTTCCCATTTTCTAGATCTTTTTCCTCACTTGTCTTAAAAAATCACCTTTAGCTTTCCCCACCATCTTGGCATTTGAAGTCTGTTAGGCTACACTATGGATAAACATCCACCCACCTACAAATTTCTCAAAATTTAAGACAAAAGTAGCATTAATATGTACCAAATTCTGATAATATCATGATAAATTTTTTCACCCAATTAGCCTGTCAAAAGGACGTTTGGAATCCGAGATAAATACTGGCATACATCAGGTCCCTGAAGTAACTGCTATTTCGTTCTTCCTAAAAGCATGACTATTGATGATTTTTTTGTTTACCACTTTCCAAAAAGCATTGCCTTCTAGCAGAATGTCACTTTTGGAGATTGAGATTCTGATATTGTTCTAACTCGCGAATATATTTTCTGGTTTTGAAAATAGGACTGATGCAACATCTTGTTTCAGCTGCTCCCTGAGGGAGATGATTCCAAGTCCTGGCACACCTACGAGTCAATCAAAGAAAAAGCAGATAAAATGAAGGCTGGGAGTGAGGACTCTGAGACAGATGACTTCATCTACATCAATGACTTTCCCCCAGTTCCAAAACAAAAGGTCCAGGAGGAACTCATGGAGGTGGATCAGGAGGATGTAGATAAGGATACCCCATCGTCAAGTCATTCAATGTCGAGTGTAAGGCGTACAGATGTTGTGGAGGATGGAGACAGTTTTGTGGGTGATAGTGACGCACCATCGTCGACACTCCCAGTCAACAAATGGGTGAAAAAAGTGGTAGAGAAGATGATTGCAGAGTATGCGGAAACTGAAAATTTGGAAGAACTGATATTTGGTCCTGGGTTTCCTTTAGGAGATCAAAAGCAGATCAGGATTACTGCATCAAAGCATCGCGTTTACAGTGGTGTTAAGACAGCTACAGATAAACGAAACTATGTGTGTGTCTATCAAAAGCTTTCACCTGAGATGATACTACAAACGCTGAGATTGAATGATGGTAAATGTGGGAGATATGCCCTCATACCCAAGGAAGAACTCCCAAGACAAGAAGATCTTGAACAGGATTCTTTTGGAATACACAACAATCTGACGCGAAGTCATTGGAAACGTTTTAAGATCAAAGTCGGATCCGGAGGGGTGTGCAGAAAGTGACCATTGAAAACGGGCAAAAATGACTCCTCATCCCTCCCCCCCCCCCCCTTTCCTCTCTCTTTCTCTTATGTAATTAATGTAATTATCATGATAAAATTGATATTTTATACTTATCCTTATGTTATTGCTTTATCTCCCTTTCATTCGAGGTACAGTGGAAACCTCAGTCCTATTGTTCCCAAATGGGTCTCTCTCTTTCCCCGGCCGGGTCCGCGTCTGTGGTGTAGTGGTTAGAGCGTCCACCCGGAGAACGGAAGGTCGCGGGTTCAATCCCCGATCACGTTATACCAAAATACGTTAAAATATGGTAATTGTTGGTCCCTGTCTGGCGCTCGGCATTAATAGGTACAACAAGGACTGGTCGGCTTGGAGTCAGTATAATGTGTCTGAGTGGGGTATTCATGCTTCACTGAGGCATGGTCTCTGAGTGGGCTAGCACTATAAAAGTCTGGGCTAGTACAAGCAGCCACACATACACATACACACACATGCAAGTCATATGAGCAAAAAATTCTCAAGCACGACATTAAACCCAATTTCATCTCATCATCTCGTCTTTCCCGTGCCAGCGTCCCACGTGATCACTGGCTCTGTGTCAACTCGTCATTATAACGCCCAACTATGTTGACCAAGGCTAAACAGAGTATGAGAGGGGACAGTTGGGAGGGCCCATAGTATATGAGGCAGGATAAGTATAAAATATCAATTTTATCATAAAAACTACTAGGGCTGTGTATTGGCCAAAAAGTGAATTGCAATATATTGTGATATATTGGGACCTTAAGTGATACACAGTGAGTGGCACTAATGGTGCATGTCAATCATATTTTCTACATTATAAGTACCTGAGCATATATGTTATGGTTTTGATAACAGCAATCTCAAAATTAGGTTGCATGATCATGGATTCTATTTTCCTTTTGATATAATTTATAGTATTGCAGTATGCATTTTTGTTATTGAATAACGAAGAAAATCATTTGTTGTGAATAAAAGTATGTGTAGATTTTAATTCAAACCATAAAGGTAATCACAAAAACTTCATTTACTCATTCAAAGAAGTATGGGAACACCTGTCATTTTAGTAGTGTTCACGGAGTAATGAATTGTAGCGTCCAAATATTATACGATAGCTGTTATCCTTAAAGGTCACATGCAACGTAAAACACAACTTTACAGATTCTGATACCTTTCAATATGGACTTACCGAAACAAATCATCAAAAATGCAAATTCAACTTATAACGTTGAAAAATAAAGCGATGAAAAAACCTGCGCGAAATCGTAGTTCAAACGATTCACTAATTTTCCCCCAGTGCTTAGGGGAATTTAAGTGGTTTCAACAGCTGGGCTGCGCTCATAGAACATGCGCAGTGAAATAGGTTCACGCAGCTTGGAAGCGGGTTGTCCGGTGAATACTCGGTGAAGGCTTTGGTGTGAGCTATTTTTCTAATGTTTTTGTTGATATTTCACAGGCGTGAGCTTTTTATATGTTATGACAGTAGATTACCGATTTAACTGTTTATATAATTTCATTTGTCTATTTCACCACACGTTCTTCTTACCGAGTCACTTTCTCAGTTCGATACTTAAAGCAATGTTATTATTTAGCGTTATCAGAATTTCTAACTGTGATATAGATATGTCGTTGTCACAGACAAAACTCAATGTCTTGTTTTATTGACACCTGTGTGTGTGTCTGCCTGCCTGTCTGCTAATGACAATATTCAATACACAACTGCGATCACTGACCACATGCAATTTGAACTTAACACCAATCAGGCTATACACCATAAACAAGACGCATTAATTTATGGCCCGAGTTCGGTCTCTGTCACATTATGTAATTACACAGACAGGCAGGTGTGATATTTGTACACATGACATGTTATGATGTCTGTTGATTGCAACATGTTATACACAAAAAATGAGCATGTATTTACAAAACCCAACATCTCTATATATACACACACAATGAGCCGTGAGGGCATCTGCAAATGAGCCAGCCGTTACACTTGAGTGCACACCCACCCGCTCTGACTGGGTTCGGTATCCCGGCCGCTTCGTTTCTTGGGAAGTAAACCCAAGTACAAAATATTGCACTTTTGATTTGCGATTGTACACTTTTAATTTTGTTTATATGTTTTTTCATAACCAGCAATGTATATTATACGTCATGAATAAGTGATAACTGTGTTTTAATTATGTTTGATTTTTTGGTTGCATGTGACCTTTAATAATATCAGTTAAGTAACATCGGATGCATTCACAAATGCAGTTTAACAGTTGATGACAGCCATACTGATTATGTTTTGCAGGATAACAAAAGGACCCAAATTTGCCCAAAATCTTCACTGTTGAGATCATAATCCTTAGTCTGGACGGGAACAGAGAACACAATTTCAACCATGCACATGCAACACTTGATCCTGATAAACCATTTGCGTGGATGGGTATAGGAAGTTGGGCACTTTCCAACGGTGTCATTGATGATTTTGTCAATGCGCAGTGCAACAACTGTTGAGTGAATTTGATCGAGCAAGGACGATTGGGTGGCTTCAGGATGGTGTTATGATTGCTCGACGTCTTCAGCAATCCCCCTCTGTGATTCATCGACTTTTTGAAAGGTTTCAGATGACAAGGTGGGTGGAGGACCAGCCACGTAAAGGAAGGCCCCATTCGGCATATGCTGATGACCGTTATGTCATTACATCAGCACTGTGGCAGAGATTCGTCACACCAAATGCTCTTCACCTGCAGTTGAGGAATGCCACGAATGTCAACTTCATTTTCCCAGACCATTCGTAACCGTTTACGTGCGCGCTGGCATCTATAACAGATGTCCATCTGTCAGACAACCGTTACATCCTCGTCACAGAACAGCATGGGAAGCATAGTATCAGGCTCATTTGCGATGGAATCGTCAACAGTGGTCAAGGGTGTTGTTTTCCAATGAGTTCCAATACAATTTGCAGTTTCATGATGGTCGTGCACGGGTGTTCAGAAGGCGAGGAGAACGCTTTCACAATGTGAACGTTAGTGAACGTGACTGGGTTTGGTGGAGTATCCATCATGATGTGGGGTACCTTCAGTCTTCATCACAGGACTCCTCTGTACCGTATTCGTGGCAACCTGACTGGTTTACGGTACAGAGATTAGATTCTTGGCCCACTTGTCATTCCGTCACTTAACGCCATTGGACCGCAATCGGTGTTCCAGGACAACAACGCCAGGCCACATCGGGCACGTGTGGTTACAGACTTCCTTAATGAAAGAGGTGTTGTGAGGAAGCAGTGGCCAGCATATTCTCCAGACCTTGCTCCCATAGAGCATGTCTTGGGCATCCTTGGTAGGCGTATCCGTCAGAATCATCCTCCGCCAGTGACCGCTGACCAGCTGTTCAGATTTCTGGACAAGGAGTGGCAAGCAATACCACAGCCATCACTGAGGACATTAGTGAGGTCGATGAGGGCTGGAGGTGCAGAGTGTATCAGAAACAGGTGGACACACGCACTACTGATCTGCAAACTGACCCTTCTTCATTCGGTTCAATTTTATTGCTATACATCACATACATCACATGATATCATATAACATTAGTTGTGCTTTAATTTCAATAGGCGTTCTTAACTTATCAAAAAGTAAATGAGTGTCCCAATATTTCTTTGAATGAGTTTATATGTTGTTATCCAATATACCCATTCTCAGAAAAAATATTGCAATAGGTAGCGTTTGAAAAGGGTATTGCAATATACCGGTAATATGGTGCACCTCTAAAAACTACATATTTTTCCTTATCCTGACGTTATTGCTGGACTCCAACGAATAGGTGGTGGGTCAGCCATCTATTTGGATTCTGATACTGTTCGATCCACCCCCTTGGAACTCTTCAATATTCAGACACTGAAACTATAAGATGGTTATGGAAAAGTAACCTGATGTCTACCTGATTATGGGTGTGTATTTAGCGCCTGGATGGGAACTGATGGATACCGGATACATCTTCCGTGACAATGTCCCTAAGATATTGGATGGCGAAGATGGAATCCAATCTCCTGAAGCAGTCTTCCATAATGGACGAGATGGAGCAGTTGCCGTGTAGAGCTAATGTGGACTCAATGACTCTAACTTCATGAGGATTGGAGGCTCTAGGTGGATCCAGTCCTGCTGCTTCACCCTCAGGACTGCTGCTTTCAGCCAGAAGGAGATAGTAGTTCAGGAGACTTTGGTAGATGTAGCGGGTGGTAACGGGATGAAGAGTCTGTTGAATCTTCTCCTCACAGCAGTTCTCTTCAGGTAGATTCTCAAAGCTCAAACTGTGCATAAGGACAAGTCTTGAGTATTGTCCGATCCGAGAAAGGATGATAACGCAGGGATGTGAAATTGTCTATCCGGTTGTCCTGGTAGCTGTTTCTAGCTTGAAGGATCTCAGCAGTGCGACGAGTTCTGGAACTTTAGTGAGTTTCACTCCCGAGGTCATGGTGAGGACTGAGCTTATGGGATGATTTCTTCAGTTTCGTCAGCTTAAGAAGATCGGACCCTGCCCCAGAAGGGTACTTCCTCTAAGCACGAGACGACTGCGTAAGAGACTTGGGGTTAGCTACTATCTCTTGAGAATCCCGTTAGGGAGTCTCCATAGAGGACTGGAATGAAGCTGAATTAATATTCAAAGGTAAAATTTCATCCCAAGGCGAAAGTGAAGGAAGAAACTCACGTTCAGGTTGTTTCGGAGACCTGTCAACTACCGATCTCATACTTTCCCACATTTTCTTGTCCATTTTTTTGCTCAACAAATTTAAAAACAATTATCGAATTCGATATTAGATTATTGGGCACAAAATTTACACCTGAAGCTAAGATTGCAGGTAGAAGAATGGCATGAAGAGCACGCAAGGTGTGGATCGTAATCAGATAGCCTGTATCTGCATACACAACACGCTCTCATAGGTAAACTCCGCTCTGAAAACAATGAGAAAAATCCAATAAATTAGCCGCTAATCAATAAATATAACACATGACAATGATGTGAAAAGGATATAAGATACATATACAAGCAGTGATTTTGAAATATAGGCCGAAATATAAGAGTGGTAGCTTGTATTAAGGACTAGAGG